AAAAAAAAAAAGTTAACTCCCAGCTTGCTGCCTTCATAAAGTTTCTACCATTCAATCTCATAATTTTTGTAATTCCTTGCCACCTATGGTGCTTTAATTTCTGCTATTTATTGTTAATTGCTCTTGGCTGGGCACGGTGGTTTATACCTGTAATCCCAGCACTTTGTGAGAGTGAGGTAAGTAGATCGCTTGAGCCCAGGAGTTTGAGACCAGTCTGAGCAACATGACAAAACCCTGTCTGTACACAAAATACAAAAATTAGCTGGACACCTGTAGTCCCAGCTACTTGGGAGGCTGAGTTGTGAAGGATCGCTTGAGCCTGGGAGACAGAGATTGCAGTGAGCCAAAATCACATCATGGCACAACCTGGGCAATAGAGTGAGACTCTGTCTCAAAAACGACAACAACAAAAATTGCTCTTTCTCTGAATACTAAGTGTACTATAGTTAGGTGGTGAGCCTATAGAAGATCCATCTTCACCCCAAAGTCACAAGCACTTCAAACCCCAGTTGGTTGAAACTCAATTTCTTCTAAGTATCAGCAGTACTCTGTTTGCCCTCCAAGTGCTAAGGGAAAACTCCCCTTACATCCATTGCCAGTGCTCCCCTGTCCCCTAATTTTCTAAAACTCTTAGATCTTACACTACAACATGCAAGAACTTCCTATTTAGGAATCTATTTGTGTGCTTGGATTTGACTTTATAGCTGGTGTGTCAGGTGCCCCAATGTAGAGAACACATTTCCTCCATTTTTTTCCCTTGGTGTCAGAAACTCACTCGCATTAAGCACTCGACAAATGCAGCAGCAATCCTTTTAGGAATTCCTATGCTCGTGCTATTGAATGAAAATATTCTCAATCTTCTCATTATATCATCACCAATCAAAATAATGATTCCTTTCTACTCAAATGTTATTCTTAAAAATTATCTTCTTTTAGTTTTTCCAGATGCAAATTGTTGTTTTTACCATTAATGTGATTTTCCCCACTAGAGTCCTTAAATGCACTGGAAGACCAAGATTTAGATGCTCTCATGGCAGATCTGGTAGCGGACATAAGTGAGGCTGAGCAGAGGACAATCCAGGCACAGAAAGAGTCCTCACAGAACCAACACCATTCAGCATCTCTACAGGCATCAAATTTCAGCGGTGCAGTCCCTCTTGATTATGGAACAAATGTTGCTGCCATTGGTATCAGCCAATATAAAGAAGACTTACCACCTCCACCAGCTGATCCTGTGTTAGATCTTCCATTGCCACCGCCACCTCCTGACCCTGTCTCTCAGGTAAGTGCGTTGGACCAGAGATGGCAGGGCCATCAATCTCTGCTACCTACCTTCTTTGCAGTGATCATTACATTCCTAAGTTTGCACATCCAAAGCTCTAAGATACTGAAAAACGAGGATACAGAGCATGCTCATTGCAAAGCTAGAACCCACCCTAAACAAGCCACATGGGTGTGTATCAAGAATGTATCAGGGCCATATTCAGGATTTACTATAGTTTGCTTAAAAACTATATTTATATGCAAACACTCTTTGATAAAACTCAATCTTTTGGGGAAATGTTTTATTAACATCATATTGAACTATGGAACTGATTATATATTTCCATGCCCCTGTTCCTAGCTCAGTACATAGAGAATAGAATGCATTCATTATACATTTTCTGAATAGAGCGAAATTGAATTTTGTTGAATTTGGCAGCCCTGTTTAGTAGGACAAGTACATCCGAGTATCACTCGTAATGTCATAGTCGGGGAGGGTGTTACAAGGCAGGCAGGTGATGAATTCTTGATATTGATAAATTTCTGAATATTGAAAAACAGACAACTGGAAAGCTTAAATTATCATTATTTGGCATATTAACCCATAGTATGCCTCTCATGGAAGTAAAAGGAGCACTTTTAAGGATTTTTGTTTGTTTGTTTAGAGTAAGCCAAATATTTTAGAGGAAAATCCTGCTCAGTTTCCTGTGGCTTCCACATTTGTGGCACTGTGTCACAATGATTGGTACTCACAAATAAGACCCTAGGGACCCTGAAAGGTCATACAATGCCTTTAGAATGAACAAATATTAAATATAAATCAAATATCATATTGTACTCTATCACACACAGTGCTCTATTGTGTATTTATTATAAAAAAAAATTTGGCTGGGCACAGTGGCTTATGCCTGTAATCCCAGCACTTTGGGAGGCCAAGGGGGGCAGATCACCTGCTCAAGACCAGCCTAGCCAACATGGTGAAACCTTGTCTCTACTAAAATATACAAAACTTAGCCAGGCATGATGGCGGGCGCCTGTAATTTCAGCTACTTGGGAGGCTGAGGCAGGGAAAATTGCTTGAACCCGGGAGGCAGAAGTTGCAGTGAGTCGAGATTGCACCACTGCAGTCCAGCCTGGGCTACACAGCAAGATTCCATCTTGGAAAAAAAAAAAACTTATGTGAAAATGGAGATCAATATAGAACAGAGACTCTTAATGTGGGGTCCATGAATATTTTGAGAGAGGCATGCATCCCCTGAAAGCAAACAAACGACAAGTTAAATGCACTTGTGAAGCTTTATGGGCTTTCTTAAAGGGGCTTGTGGCTCAAAAACAATTTGAGAGCCACTGCCATAAAAAGATACATGCCCATATTCAAGTAATCAGAATGTAGCCAGAACAGCTCATTTCCTCATCTTTATAAGTAGAAGAGAACCTTAACTTGCAAAAATCAGAGAGCTTGGGCTCATAAAATACTTCGCTCACTTTTCTGCCTGTTCATATAAGTTTGTGAGTGTTTTGGGGAGGTTAATTTAAGTTTACATTTCAGTCTTTTTTCACTTTGGGGGCATTAAGAAGCCCTTTAAGAATCTAATTAAAAATTAGAAATTCAAAAAAAGACATCCTGATCCAAAAGTAAGCATATAATTTCAGGGAGTGTTCAAATCCCTTGAGGTATGTCAATGTATAGATTCCTTAGGTTGGATTCCAGTTTGTAAGACAAGCAGATTTTTGTGGTCTAAATATGTGAAGTACTGTTAAAGTCATCATTTCATCTTTTAAGTTACCATTCCCAAGCTATAAAGGGTGACTGCCTCCTTCTATATCTTTGAGTTGAAGAATTTAGTTATAGTCATTTAAATTCTGAAAATGGAATCTTTCAGGTGATGGATACCCCATTTATCCAGATGTAATTATTACACATTGTATGGCTGTATCAAAATATCTCATGTACTCCATGAATACAGACACCTACTATGTACTCATAAATTTTAAAAATAAAAAAATGGAAAATATATATAACAATTTTTAAAAGTCATTAATAAATTTGAAAATCCAGCATGTGCAATTTGGTGCCTTTTGTTAACATAAAGTAACTAAGACACTAGTGACAGAAGTGATTACTCACTGGCATTACTTAATGAACTGTATTGAATATCTTGCCCTTTTCCAGGAAGAAAAGGAAGCCCAAGCTAAGGCTGATAAAATCAAGCTGGCGCTGGAAAAACTGAAGGAGGCCAAGGTTAAGAAGGTGAATCATGGATCCCTTTTGCATGGGGGCAGTTAAATTAAGGACATGTGGTTATGCTTAGTGATAAAAACCAAATGAAAATGTTGAGTGATACTTTCCAAATAGTTGTGATTTTAAAAAACCTTCAAGGACAAAGATAGAGTATACAGTTTTGTTTCTATAACATCAGTTAGTTCATTTGTGATGCACAAATAAGGAACTTGTGTTAGTATAAACATAGAAATTTCCTTGGCTTGTATACGATTTTTTTTTTTTTTGGCTGGTTTATACATGAATTTTCCTGGGAGCTGGAGTGGTGGGAGTAGGATTATACCTTCAACAAGAAAGGAAAGGGCCTTTGGCTTGGCTGCCGTAGAGGCAGGAGCCCTTTCAGCTCTGTTTTGAGAAATTTTAGAACAAGTTTGCACATCCAGGGCTCCCTTCTTTTGAGCTGCCCTCTCTGGGACTTTGCAAAGTTCTTGGTTGATAGCAGGTGGCGTCACCTTTGAGGACTGCCTTAACTGGGCCAGAGCTCAGCTTCTGTTGGCCTGGTCTCTGCTTTTCCACAGTTGCTCTTGTGCGCTTTTCCTGTGCCCTGGGGCAGCCTTCAGCCCTGCTGCTGCCCTGAATGTCCAAGTTATTTCCCAGGGTACCAAATGCTGTTTTTGCTGATGCTCTGGTTTCAAAATTGCATAGTTTTGAGCAATATGCCCTTAACCCTACTTTCCTAATAAGCCTGTAACTTGATCATACATTTTTCCACAGATTACAGGTTTTTGAAGAACACATGTATTGTATTATAACAGATACAGCTGTATTTAACCTCACTAGAAGAATATACCTAATTATAATAAGGTATTAATAATAGTTAGGTTGGGGGCAGTGACTCAGACCTGTAATCCCAACAATTTGGGAGGCTGAGGTGGGAGGATCATCTGAGGTCAGGAGTTTGAGACCAGCCTGGCCAACAGGGTGAAACCCCAACTCTACTAAAAATACAAAAATTATCTGGGCATAGTGGCACATGCCTGTAATCTCGGCTACTCAGGAGGCTAAGGCAGGAGAATCATTGGAACTCAGGAAATAGAGGTTGCGGTGAGCCAAGATGGCACCACTGGATACCAGCCTGGGCAGCAGAGCAAGACTCCATCTCAAAAAACAATAAAGTTTTTTTAAAAAAATAGTTAATTTGGTAATGTAAGGGAAAGATAAAATAGTCTTCATCGTGTTTTGTTTTGTTTTGGTTTAAGACAGGGTCTTGCTCTATCTCCCAGGGTGATCATGGCTCACTGCAGCCTTAAACTCCTGGGGTCAAGCAATCCTCCTCTCTTAGCCTCTTGAGTAGCTGAGACCACAGGTATGCACCACCATACCTGTGGCTAATTTATTTTTATTTTTTGTAGCTATGAGGCTTCCCTATGTTGCCTTGGCTGGTCTTGAAATCCTGGACTCAAGCAAGCCACCCACCTCAGCCTCCCAAAGTGCTGGGATTACAGGTGTGAGCCACTATGCCTGGTTCTTTGTCTGATTTCAACTCCTGAAGCAAATAACATCTCTGAGACTCATTCAGAACTTTTTTGCCAAGAGTTGGGCAAACTGTCATTTTCACAGAGGGCTTTACACTTTCCCTTCCCATGGCACCTATCACAGTTCTCTGAATGAAGGCGTTCAACACCTGCCGATGGATGGATATTCAGTAAGTTGTCCTTGGCTATCCCTGGAGCCAGACTTTCAAGTTTCATCTAGGGGAGTCTTCCCAGATTAGTCTGGTTCCACTCATTCCAAACATGCCCAAATTTCCTTACCATTCTTTTCCCCTGTTTTCTGCAAGTGATTAATTTCACAGTCAGTCGTTGGAATTCCACATCCTCGGCTGCCTTGTGGTTTTCTCCAACCTTGGTTAAATCCAACGTTCTTCCTGCTCAGTCCTGGGCACTCAGTGAGCTGATTCAATCACTCTCTCACCTACGAAACCATTTTTTAAAAGAAACGAGGGTCTCACTATGTGGCCCAGGTTGGTCTCAAACTCCTGGCATCAAGGGATCTTCCCACCAGGGCCTCCTAAAGTGCTGGGATTACAAGCATGTGCCACCACATCTGGCCTCAGCTAATGATTTTGCTGCCCATTTCCCAGGGAAAATAGACGCAGTCAAAATAAAAGGTGTGCAGACTCTCACCAAGACATCTACCAATCTTCCTGCGTGCATCTCTACCCATACTTCCCATATCCTTTCTTTAACTGTGGATAAGTCATTATGTTTCTGCTGAAGTCCAGCCTCTTCTCTTGGGCTTCAGTCTCTCTTCTTGTCCTCCTCTGCTCAAAAGTCTCTGATATCTGCCCATCTCACACATGAAGCCAGAATGACTCCTCCCAGTGGCCTCCAGTCCCTGTGTGATGTGGCTATCAGTCACCTCTCTGGCCTCATCTCCCAGCGTTTGTTCCTTCATTCATCCCATTCTAGCTGCCTGGTCTCCTGGCTGCCCCTCAAGCACTCCAGGCCTGCCCTTGCCTTGGGATCTTGGCACTTTGTAGGTCCTCTGCCTCTTCCCTGGATTCTGAGTAGGTTCACTGTGTGCCTCCTTTGAGTCTTTTCTCACCTTCCCAGAGAGGCCTTTCCTATCTAACACCACGTGTACACATCCCCAATACTCCCAATCCTTCCCCCACTTTAGTGTTCCCCTCAGTGCTTAATCCTATCCAAGGTGCTATTTACTTCACCTATTTGTGTGCGTGTATGACAAGGTCTTGCTCTGTCACCCAGGCTGCAGTGCAGTGGTGCAGTCATAGCTCACTGCTGCTTCAAATTCCTGAGCTCAACTGATCCTCCCATGTAGCTGGCCTACAGGTGTGCACCACCATATCCCTCTATTTTTTTTAAATTATTAATAGAGAAAGGGTCTGGCCCTTTGCCCAGGCTGCTCTCAAACTCCTGGCCTCACTTCAGCCTACCTAAGTGCTGAGATTACAGGCAGGTAATCGTAGTTAAAATAGTTAATTTGGTAAATTAAGGGGAAAATGAAACAGGCATGTAATCCCAGCACTTTGGGAGGCTGAGGTGTGAGGATCGCTTGGCCCGGCCTACTTTACTTATTTGTCCTATGCATTGCCCGTATCCCCTCCCCACCCCCACAGGATCTCTCCAGCGACCTCTTTTCCCCACCAATGCATCCCCATTTCTTAGAAAAGTTGCCAGGATCACACAGAGGTGAACAAGTCAAGTGTGGTCCCTGCTTGTGGAGAGTTAGAGTCTAGTTAGATTCTAGCTCTGAAGAAAATAAACCATGAAGAAGTGATAGAGAGTACCCGGGCAACTCTTCCAGATGGATTTAGTGCTGAGGAGGCCTCTCTGAGCAGGCAGCCATGGAGGGAAGGCTCTGGTCAGAAGCAGTTGGATGCACATGGGCATGGTGCCAGGGGGCATTCCAGGCAGAGGGAATGGGCAGTGAAAGATGTGCCAGCAAGAATGAACTTGGGGAGGTGGGGAAAAAGGGAAGGAAATGAGGACAGAGAGGCAGCCAGAAGCCACAGGATCTCACAGGCCCAAGGAGAAGTTTGGGTTGTATTATAAGTGCAATGGGAAGCCATTTGAGGGTTTTAAACAGGGGAGTTTGAGATGAATATATGGTTTTTAAAGGTCATAATGGGCCAGGCACAGAGACTCACACCTCTAATCTCAGCACTTTGGGAGGCCGAGGCAGGAGGATTGCTTGAGGCCAGGAGTTCAAAACCAGCCTGGGCAACATAGCAAGACCCTATATCTTAAAAAAATATTGTATTTAATTAGCTGGGCATTGGTGGTGCATACATGTAGTCCCAGCTACAGGAGGCTGAGGTGGGAGAGTCCCTTGAGCCCAGGAGTTCAAGGTTGCAGTGAGCTATGATCACAGCACTGTATTCCAGCCTGAGCGGCAGAGCAAAATCCTGTCTCTGAAATAAATAAATATAGGTTATACTGGCTGCTTTGTAGAAAATGAATTGTAGGGACAAGGTGTGAGAGGAGGATTCTAGCACAAAATCTCACACACGGATAAGCATGTGTTGAAGTGATCACACATGGATGGCAGCTGACGATGAGCTGTGCTGAGTCCTTTATCCCTCAAGATAAAAAGGCAAAAGAAAATGGGAATAGTAAACTTCATAATTAGACTATTTCAAACCCCTGGATTATGTGTAAAATATATTATTTATATATTTTCAGAAGGGGAAATGAAAAGAGAAGTCAATTTTTTCTTAGGTTAAAAGATAGCGCAACCGGCAGATTCCATCCATTTGCTTCAGCTGGAGATTAAAAGAGCTGGAGGGGAGGGCAGATATTTCCTGCCATACATCAGAAAGTGAGAAAGTGCTGCCATGGTTTAGTTTAGATGAATTATGATGGTACACACAAAGCACAAGCTGCCTTGATTCAACAAAGAAGATGGAAAACAGAAGCCACTCTGATCAGTGAGGAAGAAAAGAAAATTATGAAGACAAGTTATATATTTGCTCTGATTTCAGACACTCTGAATATATTTGTTTTATCATGCAGAACGTTAAGAAAATAACTGAGACACACTCATACACTGAGAATAACTTCAATGTACTCATGCGTAATCTACAACATGTTTTTAAAGGATGGAAATCAAATCTATCTGTCATGCTTTGCCCTCAAGTATTCTGTGGGCTGTTGACATCATTTTGAATTACAAATGATGTACACAGCTTGTGCTATAAAGATTTTGGAACTAGAAACAGAATCAGACTCATGCATTACTTTTATTGTTTGTTTTTTAAAGCCCTGTGACACCAGAGAACAATTCCGTTAGTAATTTTATCATAGACGCAAAAAACAAAACAGTAAATGATTTAAGGCTGAGATATTTTTGTATTTAGCAGCTTGCCAAAAAAAAGAAATTATAAAAAATGTAAAATCTTTAATGGATTATTTAAGTTTTTTCACTCTTGAATCACTTTGCCCCATACCATAGAGTGTAAATATGGAAGTATTTAGCTTGCTAAATCACATAACTCTAATTTAGCTTACTAAATCATATAACTGTGATTTAATGTTACGTGCTGGTATAGAGCTACTCTTTAGCTTGCAAATGTGAGGGAAGCTTTGAAGAATAGTAAATATAACTTCTTGTTAAACGTCACAAGCCTTCTCTTGTGTGTGTGTGTGTTTTCTAAATTCTATAATTGTGGACATTCATAAGTACATGTGGATTAACTCTAGTTTGCAATTTCTGCAAAAAAAAAATACCTTTAATCATTGCCAAATTATGTGGTTTAGATTTTTTTCTATATATATATATGATTTTATAGAACATAAAAAACCGCAATGTATGTTATATTTTCTCAAGAATTCCTAAGCAGGATTGAAATGTAGTCAAACATCATTAATCTTTCCATCAGGAACATTACATTTTCTAAGCCCTAACATTGCTAGTGTTTCTTAGCACATGTAGCTACTTTACAGCAGTAATTCTCAGCAGAGAGCAGAAAGTACACCTTCACAGAAAATAAACCCCAGTAAAGACTGCTGTTCAAAGAATCTCTTTTTCCATGCCACTCTCCGTGACTCATTTCTAAGGACAGATGAGTGGATCTTTGACACTGTTAGTTGGACCTACCATTTTATCATCAAAAAACAAATATAAGGAAAAAGCAACTATCCAACTACAGATGTCGGGGCTAGAGATTTTCAAGGGAAAAAAAAAGGGTTCTTCAGGAAACCCTGGGATAAGGGTCTGATTTAAATGGTCCCTGGAGGAAGAAAGCATTATGACTTCACCATGTCTGCATTTTGATCTTGGGGGTGTATGTGAATGTTGGAAATAGAAGGTGCTAGGTGAGTGCTTCAACTTGTGGTTGCTGCCTGGAACTCACCCAAATGGTTATCACCACGCACACCCTTCTGTTGCTATCAGTAACTCTGCAGAACCATCTACAGGAACTACACTCTTCTATCTGTTAACTACAGAGTGTTAGGAAGGAATGAAGTTATACTCATATAACCCTGATCATGCCCAATCTCATCTGACCTCAGCAGCCTAAACAGGGTCAGGCCTGGTTAGTACTTGGATGGGAGGCGGGAATGGGACAGAGTCTGGCTGCTCAGAACCCAATCCAAAAATGTGGAGAGAAAGAAACATCACCAAAATATATGGTTTTGGTTTTTAATATGTTACCAAATTTGTGGTTTCTCTCTCCTTTTTCAGTTGATCTAATCACTTTTTCAATAACAATGAGTCTTATTGGTGAATAACCAGGACCAACCCTAGGCACATATGCTACAGATAAACAGAGATCAAAGAAAATCAAAGCCTAGCTGCATCACTTCGTGAATTCATTCTGTTAACATTACATGAAAATCGTGGTCTCTCTCATGAATCACATGTCTTAATAGCTTTGACAAGTTGCCTAGAAAAAGCCGAGGATATTCCGTGTTCTCATTGAAGATAAGTAAATGCGGCTTCCTCCAAACCTCCAGATTTGGAATGAGATTACTACCAATTTTATTGTGAATTTAATTCAATCGAACACGTATTTTGAAAATGGGATAAAAAACAAATTAGGGGCTGGTTACGGTGGCTCATGCCTGTAATCCCAGCACTTTAGGAGGGTGAGGCAAGAGGATTGCTTGAGGCCAGGAGTTTGAAACCAACATGGGCAACATAGTGAGACTTTGCCTCTACCAAAAAAATGAACAAAAATTAGCTGGGTGTGGTGGTGCAACCTGTGATCCCAGCTACTCGGGAGGCTGAGGTGGGAAGATCAGTTGAGCCCAGGAGGTCGAGGCTACAGTGAGCCAAGATCACACCACCACACTCCAGCCTAGGCAACAGAGCAAGACCCTATCACGCACATACATATAAAATGGAAATTAGATTGATCATGTGCCTGCATAACAGCTTATTTCTCAATCTACATTCATTTCACTTAATCCAACTCTGATCTGAAATGTACCCTCCTGTAACTATCTGTCTCTTAGTGGGGCCCCCTCAGTGGCACCATGTTGAGATATGCTCTGTGGACCTTCAAAGAATTGTAGATTAACCAACGTGGTCTTATTTGGTGTCTTCAGACTCTCGGGTTGCATGAAATGGGGCTCAACTCCAGCCAAGCAAAAGATAAGAGTTTATTATAAAGATACAGGTGGCCGGGCATGGTGGCTCACACCTGTAATCCCAACATTTTGGGAGGTTGAGGTGGGCGGATCACTTGAGGTCAGGAGTTCTAAGACCAGCCTGGCCAACATGGTGAAACCCCATCTCCACTACAAATTTTTAAAATTCGCCAGACGTGGTGGCAGGCACCTATAATCCCAGCTACTAAGGAGGCTGAGACACGAGAATCACTTGAACCCAGGAATTGCCACTGCACTCCTGCCTGGGTGACAAAGCAAGATTCCGTCTCAAAGTAATAATAATAATAATAAAGATAAAGGCATAGCTTTTAATCTAGAAAAGTTTCTGGACTCCAGGATGGAATGAGAACAAGGGAAAGATTACTGGGAAAGCAGGAACCCAGAACTTTTTTGGTTGTTTGTTTTCTGCCTCTCCCACCAGAATGCCCTGTCTCTGAAGGCTGGACAAGGACTTCATTATCTGTTTTCTCTTTTTGTGAATTGGTTTCTCCACCTTAATAATCTTAGCACCTAAAACAAGTGCCTGGCATGCAAGTGAGTTTAGATGGAACCAGTTCACTGAACACATTCTTAAAAAAATTTTTCAGAAACAATAGCAACTTTGAAAGTCTAATCTTAGTGGCCTCTGGTTGCTGAAACTTGCTGAAGCTTACTGGCTGCCCTGTGGCTCTATCCTCAGCTCGTCGTCAAGGTGCACATGAATGATAACAGCACGAAGTCACTGATGGTGGATGAGCGACAGCTGGCCCGAGATGTTCTGGACAACCTTTTCGAGAAAACTCACTGTGACTGCAATGTAAATTGGTGTCTTTATGAAATATACCCAGAACTACAAATTGGTAAGTCCCATCCCCAGCAATGGGCTGTACTACAAAAACCTTGTGGGTTTGCTGTATTACGGGTTTGGGTTTACTCTCTTTTTTTCTCTTTAATTTTATATAAAAAATGGACACAGTGTCTCACTATGCTGCCCAGGCTGATCTTAAACTCCTGTATTCAAGTGATCATCCCACCTGGGCCTCCCAAAGCGCTGGGATTACAGGCATGAGCCACTGCGACTGACCTCGTCCATCCTTGAGAAGGCTTTGGTTCAAGGTTTTCACTTCCCTTATATGAGATTTAGTGCTTGACTCTTCATTTATTTGTAGTGAATAGACGTGGATTCTAGCAGGTGGTGGCCAGACCTTGGGGGATATAAGCATTATTACTGCTGTTTCTCTAGTGATTCCATAAGGGAAAGAAAGTGTCTGGATAATCCTTGCTAAGATACTGCATGCTTAATAAGCTGATACCCAGGAGAGGCTGGGTATCTGTCCGCTAATGCCTCCTTAGTGGTTGCTTCCTTAGCCAGCTATAACCCTGCCACAGCCTCCCATCAGTGCTCATTTCCCCTTCTTCCCTTCCCACTTCATTTGGTAGAAATGGATGGAATTTTTCAAAACCAGAAAAAAAAAATGGTAACTGAAGATATCATGTTACTTCTTATTCTTGGTGGTGGTGGTGGTGATGGTGTTGAGGCAGGGTCTTGCTCCATCACCAGGGCTACAGTGCAATGGTGTGATCATGACTCACCGCAGCAGCCTCAAGATCCTGGCTCCAGCCATCCTCCTGCCTCCGCATCCTGAGTAGCTGGGACTGCAGGCACACATCATCACATTTCTCATTTTTATTAACGGAACAGCTGTCCCTCAGGAGAGCTGGGTAGAACAGAGAATCGCCTGTACTAGAAGCTTTGGGAGCAATTTTTTTTTCTTGATAAAATGGTGTACACGAAAACAGTCCCTTGAAGTTTTCTTCAATTCTATGAGTCAAGGGAAGAAAGGAAAGCCTTCCTTTATGTTTTAATTCAGGCATTCACACGTTGCTTTTAGAGGGTTAAGGGGTGATGTTTTGGAGTAGACACTGTGGCACTCACAATTTCATTCAAAGTGTTTCACCGGTCATTGGCTGATTGTCCACCTCCTGTAGAACTTGTTTGCCACCATCTGGGAATATTTAAAGTAAAAAATGTTGATATGAAAAAAGTATGTCTCCGGGTACACTGGTATATGTCTGTAGTCCAAGCTACTCAGGAGGGTGAGGCAGGAGGATTTCTTGAGCCTTGGAATTCAAGGCCCTAGTGCACTACGACGGCACTAATATAATAATAGCCACTGCACTCCAGCCTGGACAACATAGTGAGACCCCATCTCTTAAAAAAATAAAAGAATCAAGTGTGGCAGCTGACCATTGTCACTGTGTAATGGGTTTTTTCATCTTTTTTCTTTAATGGAAGATAATTTGGAAGACAATGAAAAATAAACATAATAGGAATGTTACAATGTGACATCAGGTGAGAATTATCAGTAAGAATCCTAGACACCTGATGAAACTCATGAAGCATTGTGTTTAACTCAATAATAGCTTGTTTCTCACTTGGAAACCCTGATGTCTTGGGTCTGAAAGAATATCTTTTCTTATTTCATCAGAGAGGTTTTTTGAAGACCATGAAAATGTTGTTGAAGTCTTATCAGACTGGACAAGAGACACAGAAAATAAAGTACTATTTCTGGAGAAAGAAGAGAAATATGCTGTATTTAAAAACCCCCAGGTAAGACGACCTGCATATTGTTAAATCCTATAAAGTATGAAGGATTTTTTTAAATGTCACCTATGTACTAACCACACCATTCATTGTCTCACAAAATCTCACAAATCTATTCTTTTCAAATAAGCACAAACTCAACTTTTAAGCTGTATGTATGCTAACAGCCCTTTGAAAGATTCAGAAAGAAAAGAATCCATTTTGCTTTTTTAAATTCCAAATCCAAAACCTATCTATCTGTGGTTGTCTGATCCTCTTCTGGCCCCGTTTCTGTTTGGCTGCATTAATCCAATATATCTTGATGTACTCACTGTTGGTTCTTCCTGCTTTTTGCTTGAAAGATGCTCTTTTCTTTGTTGTTTGTATTTGGTGCTTATATGTGCCAGGAAAACTAAAAGGAGCACCTAGAAAATGTACAATTTATTGTCATTTTGTCACAAACAATTGTGCAACTAAAAAGCACAAATTCATATTTGTTCTTTTGTTCATATTTGTTCTTCATATTTGGGAATGCTTCCTTCACGTTATATGTATGAGGATGTCCAGGCTTTTTCCCAGCTGTGGCCTCAAGCAACTGTAATTGAGTAAGGGTCGTTACTTTTTTTGAAAATCAAAGAATGTTAAAGGTGAAGAAGATCCTCCCCATTTTCCAGATATCTTTCCCTTTTACAGGTTAAAAAAAAAAAAAAGTCTTATATCACTAGAGGCAGAATTAGGGCAGCTTCCTTGTGGGAAAATGCTCTTTCTCCTGTAAATGCTATTTTCTGGGGTCTTCGCTAGGTTGTGTGGTGGCCAGCGCTATTGTATAATTAAGATTAGCCTTATGGGAGAGCCAGAGATCACCTCCATACCCCTTTACACTGGATCTAAAAACCAAATTGACACCAGGGAGATTAACAAGGGAAAATCACACAGTATTTAGCAGCTTTACATCTACATGGGAATCTTCATAAGAGTCAAATTTGAAGAAATGGCCCAGGGAAGATGCTTCTATACTTTTTAAACAAAGAACAATAAATTTGAGAAGAAATGATAGGACAAAGGGAATCTGGATAGGGGTGGTAAAATATCTAGGGGAGTGTAAACCAAAAAGTGTCTTAACAGGTCTCAATCAGTTTAGAAGTTTGTTTTGCCAAGTTTTAAAGACATGCCCAGAAGAAAAAAAAAAAGAGAGAATCACGGAAACAATTTGTGGTCTGTGCCTTTCTCCAAAGCTGAATTTGAGGGCTTCAATAATTAAAGGGGATGCTGGACATGGTGGTTCCCACCTGTAATCCCAGCACTTTGGCAGGCTGAGGCAGGCATATCACTTGAGGTCAGGAGTTCGAGAACAGCCTGACCAACATAATGAAACCTTGTCTCTACTAAAAATACAAAAATTAGCTGGCCATGGTGGTGGGTGCCTGTAATCCCAGCTACTTGGGAGGCTGAGGCAGGGGGAATTGCTTGGACCTGGGAGGCAGATGTTGCAGTGAGCTGAGATCTCACCACTGCACTCCAGCCTGGGCG